ATTGTTAGCAATACACTTCATTTTATTAGCCATCAAGTGTAATTGTAACAGAATCAGCTACTGCAGTTGTAATGTTGTAGAGGACAGTTTTAGTGAATTTAGTGTTTTGATAGCCATTCTAAATAAAGCCCATTTTAACCCATTCTAAATAAAGCCCATTTAACCCATTCTAAATAAAGCCCATTTAACCCATTCTAAATAAAGCTCATTTCAACCCATTCTAAATAAAGCTCATTTCAACCCATTCTAAATAAAGCCCATTTCAACCCATTCTAAATAAAGCCCATTTCAACCCATTCTAAATAAAGCCCATTTTAACCCATTCTAAATAAAGCCCATTTTAACCCATTGACTCCCTGTACTGTAGGATGCCCCATCAGAGCTGTATGGACCCACAATGCTAGTGTTCACTCTAGTGGCAATACTCCTCTATGGGATGAAGACCTCAGGGCACACTGTGGTGAGACTGCATGAGTATGGACTGTACACTGTATAGCGGAAAATTTTTGTGGCCCAAAATTTTCGTGGATTTCACGTTTTTTTTTCAAAACCCACGAAAATAAAATCCACGAAAATTGATTCTATATGGTTTAAGATGGCCGAAATGTAGAAAACCACAAAAATTAAAGCCATGAAATTGATTTTTGGATGGATCCGCAAAAATTTTGGGCCATGAAAATTTTCCGCTATACAGTAGTATGTACATGTACATGTAATTATGATATACATGTACATTACTTATCATTATTAAATATGATACTAAAGTCCATTTGTGTTCACCTGAGCCCTTGTTTTCTTGCAATAACTTTTGACTTACAAGTTCTATTGTAAAAATAAACATACTAGTGCATTCCTCTCCTTTGCCGCATCTATTGTGATACTCAAGAAGCAGCTTTAGCTCTTTAACTCCAAGTTGGTTGTATATCCCATGCAGAAAGTACAGCCATACTTTTCACAATATTATTGCATTGTGTTAATTATTGGGTGGGGTTTCTAATCACTTCCTGGGCTCAGGTGAATGCAAATGGACTTTAGTGCATTAGTTTGCTTTTAAACTATACCTCTTTACATGTACATACTAATAGTATTGAATGCTTACAATTATACAAATCACTGCATCAATCCAGTAATCAATCATTATGCTCCTCGCCCATAGGAGGATGGTACGCTAATAGGTACAGCACTGGTAGTGTGTATGGGCTACTGGTTTGGTCTCTCACTGCTCTCATTCTTCATATCATATCTACTCACAGCTCATGTGTCACTGATACAACTGATGTCATTAATTGTGAGTTAAGGAAAGATCAGTACATCAATACATGAATCAGAATATTGCTTTTTTTCAAAAATTGGCCGATTTCTTAAAATGGCCGTAACTTGAAAAATATTTGTCGGAATCAGCTCAAACTTTCTATACAGCATAAGGACATTAATATGTATCAGAAAATTTAATAAAAATTTGGGATGATTTTGAAGCCAATTTTTGAAAAAACCATGGGCTATAGCCTTGGATATTTTTCAAAAATTGGCCAATTTCTTAAAATGGCTGTAACTTGAAAAATATTTGTCGGAATCAGCTCAAACTTTCTATACAGCATAAGGACATTAATATGTATCAGAAAATTTAATAAAAATTTGTGATGATTTCTGAGTCATTTTTTGAAACAAAACCATGGGCTATAGCCTTGGGAATTTTTCAAAAATTGGCCGATTTCTTTAAATGGCTGCAACTTGAAAAATATTTGTCGGAATCAGCTCAAACTTTCTATACAGCATAAGGACATTAATATGTATCAGAAAATTTAATAAAAATTTGGGATGATTTTGAAGCCAATTTTTGAAAAAACCATGGGCTATAGCCTTGGATATTTTTCAAAAATTGGCCAATTTCTTAAAATGGCTGTAACTTGAAAAATATTTGTCGGAATCAGCTCAAACTTTCTATACAGCATAAGGACATTAATATGTATCAGAAAATTTAATAAAAATTTGGGATGATTTCGGAGCCAATTTTTGAAAAAAATCTTGGGTATTTTTAAAAAATTGGCCAATTTCTTAAAATGGCCGTAACTTAATAGTGTTTGCTCAAAAGGTCGACCCCGACCTCTTCCTATCAGATGTTCATAATTAATTGTCTTTAATATCATAAGCACTGGTCCTGTATTAAGTACATGTGTATATCTCATCCATAGGGTTATTCACTGACAGCTCACTGTATCATACTCTCATTAAGTACAGTCTTTGACCACTATGGTACACCAGTAATGTTCTACCTCTTCTGGATCATATTTGGACTATTGACAACATGTAAACAAGTAAACAACAATAAAGATAAACAACAACAACACAGCAACACTTGTTATTAACAGGTAGGTATATTATTATCTCGTTCCTGGTCCCTAAGAGACGGTCTGATACTGTCACTAGTGATAGGATCATGTCACATGTGCTCAATCCTCTATTTAAGATTCATGTATCACAGAGTTTATGAAGGTACCTCTTTATTATAAATAATTATTATATATTTATTTGTTTATTTATTTTAGCTCTTGCAGAAGCCATATGAGTATCAAGAACAATAACATTAAAGAATTTTATATTAACAACAACAACAATAATAATAACAATAATAATAACAATAATAATAACAATAATAATAATAATAATAATAATAATAATAATAATAATAATAATAATAATAATAATAACTTAATTCTTGACAGTCTTCTTTTTCTTCTTTTTCTCTCTCCACCACTCACCGCCCACTCCTTTAATTAGTTCAGTATAATGGGTACACAGTGACTTGAAGTCCTCCAGTGTCAGTTGCTGTGCTCTCAGTGTTTGGTCCACTCCACTCCTCAGGAACAGCTCAGTAGATAAATGAGAATATTCATCAGGAAATAATAACCTAACGCAACATAAGAATCCATGTACATGTATTAGAAATGTAATGATAATGGAGGATTCTCTCCTAATTTTGATGAAACTTGACCAAAAGTACAGGGACTTTTACTCAATTTTTGAGCAACTTAAAAATTCATAAAAATCCAATTTTGATTGAAATCAGCTCAAAATTTCTACACAACATTAAGTATATGTATCAGGAAATGTAATATTATTATTATTATTATTACTTTGCTGAATGGCGTATCATTTTTCTTCTATATTGGAACAGTGCTCTCACTACAGTCTCCAGTGTATCAAAGTCAGTGTTGATGACTGGAGTCAATAATGGGGTTATCTTGACAACCACTGCCTGTACCTAATAATGAATGAATTAATGTGTGTGTAAAGGTAGCTCTATCTTTATAGCTTATGTAAATTATAATGCAGGTAATATTGTCATAAAACATCATTGCAGTTAGCTTTGGTATGCCATTGGGTTTATAGGGAGAACCTGGTTCTCAGGGTTCCCAAGGGCTGAGAGACCTAAGACTTGACACATTTTAATGGACTTTGGTTGTATAAGCTCTATCAGTAATTATTGATACATTAATTATTGATATATTAATGAAACTCTATTCCCTTTCCACCTATACACTAACAAAGAGCATGTATAACGTATTTATTGGAGGTATGT